CCGACCTTGACGGTGGCGGAGATGGGCAAGATCTTCGAAGAGGTAAGCTTTCATTTATTTTTTCCTACTTAATCTTCAATTATAGGTGTTTTACTTATGTTTTCAACATTTTTCCAGGTTAACCCTCGGAAGAAGGGTAGAGTTTTAGGGATGGGATTCATCCATGATACCCCGATCGCTACTGTGACTAGTCATGTCCGGGCAGAGGATCCAGTGGTTATTTTTCAGGAGCTCCACCAGATGCGGACGCAATACGAGACGAAGATCGACCAGTTGTACGGTCTCTTTGGTATTTTGGGCACCGACAACCCGTTGCTCCAGGCACAATAGGACAGGTTTCGGGCAGCTGGAGTCCTCGGTGCATCTTCTTCATCCTCTAGGAGGCAACCACTAGTGCAGACGGACGACGAGATGTTCCGGTCTCTCGAGGTTGATCCTCCTAGAGCCGGGGATCAGACGCCGGAAAACTCCAACCGAAGAGCCGGCAAGAAACCTGCAGACCAAGATGGGGAGCAGGAAGATGCGGGAATAGTCGACATTAGTGTAGATTTAGGTATTTGATAGGGTTTTTTGTAAATAATGTAATTTTTATTATTTTGAATTTTAATTAAATTTAAATATTAATTTTTTATCACATTTTTTATTTCAATTAAAATTTCAATTCGGATTAAATAATTTTTTATTTTTATTTTAACAAAACATCGTATAATCGTCGTAATATATTTATTATTTAATTAATCCACCGTCGTAATAAAATATAAAAAATACAACCCAATTACAACGATATGTTTGTCGTATATTATACGACGCTTATACGTCGGTTATTTACGACAATTTTACGTCGAACAAAAAAACATACGACCCGATTACGACGATATGTTCGTCGTATATTATACGACGCTCATACGTCGGTTATTTACAACAATTTTACGATGGATACGATGGAAAACAAATTGAGTCAAATCGATGAAAAATTCGCTGTAAATATTACGACGCTTTTACAATGTCTTTTTTACGACGATTTTACGATGGTTTTTACCGTCCTAGATTTTACGACGAGTTTACGACGAACTGTCTTTTACGATGATGCATTTACGATGGTTTTGAAATCGTCACAAGTGCGCCGTAATAGGGGTTTTACAATGATTTTACAGTTTCGGCCGTTGTAAAAGAGTATTTTTCTTGTAGTGTTTGGCACCTTCATAGCCTTGAGACCACTACAAGAAAACATGCCAAAAACCTACGGAAAATATCGTTAGAAAAACGTAGGAAACAGCTCTTTCTTACCAAATTCTTACGAAATTTTGTTATAGGAAATCGGCCATCAGAAAATGTAAAAGGTAAGAAAATGGTAGGAAATTTCCTACGAAAATGTTAGTAGGACAGTTTTCCTATGAAAATTTTAGTAGAACTTTCCTACCAAATTACTATCATTTTCTATCGATTAGTGTTTCTTCCAATTTCCTACAAAACATCATTTACCTATTTTCTACGATTTTTTACTACTAATTTCTTACCAATTTCTTACCAATACAATTTTATAAAAATCAAAAATTAAATTAATATCGGAAATTGAATTTAATTAAATATAAATTAATTATAAATTTGATTAACGAAATATATACAAAAAAAACAAAATAAGTTCTCTAACTACTATGAGCCTAAAATTTGACTAAATAATTATTAAGTAGAGGGAGAGAAGGTGAAGACTCTTATTTATAGAGTAACTTCTTCACCTAAATTATCTTAGATTGTCGATGTGGGACAACCCAAAAAACATAGTTTCCTACGGAATTCTTACGATTTTTCTACAAACGATATTTCGTAGGAAATCCGTAGAAAAATATAATTTTGCTCTTTTTATAGTGCAGTTTCTTCATCTAAATTCTTAACTTTTTTTTTGAATGAATGTTAAATTTTATTCAAACAAAAAAAACAGCGTTTTCTACATCATTGATGCGAGCTTTAATTTAAAAACGTTTTACAAAAGAAACAATTGAACATTCTTCTTCCTTCTTCATTATGCTGGCCTCGTCGCGAACCAAGCTTGAAGTCCATCCTCATATTTTTCGATGTGGGATAAACAAAAAGACATATGTTCCTACAAAATTCTTACGATTTTTCTACAAACAATATTTCGTAAGAAATCCGTAGGACAATGATACGAAATTTCCACCAGTGTAACAATTAATTGGGTCCTACAACTTTCCTACCAAATTTTGACCGTATTTTCTACGAATTTAAATTTGGTAGGTTATTGGTTGGGTATATCCTACCACTTTTTGACATTTTCTTTTCGTAGAAAATTTCTTACCTATTTCCTACCACTTTTATTTTTCGTTATAATTGCGTAAGAAATTGGTGAAAAATATTCCTACGAAATACAATCGTAGGAATTTTCGTAAGAATATGGCATGTTTTCTTGTAGTGGACTGCTCCTTGTCATTTCCATTAAGGTCATGTTTCTTCTCTCTACTACACCATTCTGTTGCGGTGTATAGGGAGCAGAGAGATGCCTCCTAATCCCACTCTGCTCGCAGAACTCCTGAAATTCCGTTGAAGTAAACTCCCCTCCTCTATCTTTTGTTAGAGTTAAGATTGCTTTCCCTAGTTCTTTTTCCACCATACCTTTGAATGCTTTGAATTTTCCATATGCTTCACTCTTCTCCTTTAAAAAGATAGATCACATATATCTTGAAAAATCATCAATGATCATAAATATGTACCTATTGTGAGCGATGGTTGGTGGTGTGATTGGACCACACAGCTCCGCATGAAGCAGTTCTAGGGGTTTAGATGATCTAAATGCAGCTGTCTTTGGGAAAGATTGTCGAATTTGCTTGCCCACCAAGCAGGATTCGCACAATTCCGTATCTTCTCGGATTTCCAGTAATCCATGAACCATCTCGTTTTGAGACATAGCTTTCATCGTCCTGAAGATGATATATCCCAATCTAGCATGCCATCTCCATGTCTCGTCTTCCACCTTCGACTGTAGACACACAGATTTTCCAAATTTTAGCTTTATTTTGTAAAGCTGATTTGGAGACCTTGTGACTTTAACGAGCAGTTTCTTGTCTAAATCATGGAGTGTCAGATAGTACTGTCTCATCCTAACATCATAGCCGGCTTCTGTAGCTTGCCCTAAACTTAAGATGATGCTCTTGAGGTCAGGAATGTAGTAAATATCCGTGACAAGTCTCTGTTTGCCGGTTTTGCCTTGAAATAGGATAGATCCTTTCCCTCCTATCTCCACACAAGAGCCATCACCGAACTTGACTTTTCCCTTGATATTTCTGTTGAGCTCGGAGAAGTATCCTTCTTTTCCTGTCATGTGATTACTCGCTCCATTGTCGATACCAAACTCTTTCTTCTTCTTTGTTTGCTTTGAAGTTCTTTGGAATTAGTTTTTCTTTGTTCAGAAACACAAGTTCATGCATATATAGTGCTTCGTCAGCTTATTCCATCTCCACCATATTTGTCTCTTGTGTTTTCTGTGCTCTCTCCGGACAAACTGAGGCAAAGTGGCCTGGTTTATCACACCTGTAGCAAATAACCTTCGATCTATCCTTCTTCTCCTTCGTCTGATCGTTTTGGTTCGATGCTCTCTCTTGCAAATTAAACCTTCCACCTCTGCCTCGTCCTCTGCTTCCTCTGCCTCCTCTTCCATGTCCTCTCCCTCTTGAGCTGGAACTACTTTGTTCTGAGTTCGCGTACAACAACTTCCCCTGCATATCTCTGTGATTCTCATCAGCGAGAATCTTTTCTTCATATGCTTTGAGTCTACCGATGATATCCTTAAAGCTTGTTGTCTTCAGGTCCAGTACTTGCTCAAGAGAGGCTACAATATGAATAAACTTCTGTCTTGGTAAGCTATTAAGGAACTTGTTTACAAGCTTATGTTCCTCTATCGTCTTTCCAAGTGATGCAGCTTTTGAGGCGAGCTCCGATAACTTCCTCGAGAAGTCATCTATTGAATCAGAATCCTTCATCTTTGTTCTTTCGAATTCAGACATAAGGGTTTGAAGTCGAGCTTCCTTGACGCGATCTGCTCCTAGGTTTCGTAATTTGATCACATCCCATATGCTCTTTGCTGTCTCTTGCTCGCCGACTTGCAAAACAAGGGACTATGGGATTGCTTGAAACAACAGGCCTGTGGCGATGTCATTCTTGGCAGCGTCGATTGAACCTGGTTCGATCGTCTCCCAGACTTTGTGAATTCGGAGCAGTACCCTCATCTTCATTGCCCACACCGTGTAGTTTGTTGCGGTCAACATCGGGCACTGTATCGAAGAAGGTACGCTTTCCTTCGGTTGAGGTGATACGACTACGTCTTCCATCTCCTCGTATCGTATGATCTTCGTGTTTATATGATTAGGGTTTGGATCGCTTCTAACTCAAGCTCTGATACCAAATATAATCGCATAAACAACTTGTAGAACTTTGTTAAGAGAATTCTTTATTAATGCTTATAAAACTTGTCTCAAAAACTAAACACGATAATCCCTTAACTCTCTCTCTTGTCTCTAATGCGACTTCATCAAAGATCTATTTATAGTGTTAGCACAAACTTTGCTAACTACTTTTTCTATTTTTTATTAGACTTAAATAACTCCTAAACTAATAATAAAATATTCCGTTCTTATCTTTAACAGACTTGTTAAAAACTTCTTGAGCCTTAAGTAACCAAAGCTTATCCAACAATTTTCACATTGAAAGTACACCATTATAAACTTGTGTGATCGATATCCTAACAAGCTTTTTCTTTTCAGATATGGTTTGATTCAAAACCGAAGGCCATAGAAGGTAGCAAACAAGGTCAGAAGTAAGTTATTATAAATGAGCTTGTGAAACTTTGATCTTGACTACAACTTTATACATGTAAATAAGTAAAAAGAAAGGTAAAGAATCCAAATAAAGTAGACCGAGTCATCATTTCTAATAAATGAGGGAAAGACATAAACCTACACAAAATGGCAGATAAGTAAAATGTTTCAATGTGAAGGGACCCCATCTCATTTGAATTCTTCCTCAATAGCTTGTACTTTTACATCTTCACTTCTTTTGTTTCTTATACATCAACTTGACATCTCCAATTCTATACATACACACATACATATATATCTGTAGATATATGAACCTCAACATGACTAAGTAAACAGAAACATTAAAGCCATGAACCGACCCGATTTAGATTAGAATAACACAAAGAAGTCACACGTTCAAGCACCATACATAGATTAAAGACACTGACACATAAGAGGCTAAAACCATTCCTCGAAGCAACTTTCATGTAGAGAGTTTGAACATAACAAGACCTGGTTCATGGAGATGGCGGCCAAATATGCGGTTCCAAGTCTATATTCACCCTATCCGCATTAAAATTATCGTCCCAACCATGCTCAAACTCATCTTCATAGAACTCTCCCATTTCACCATCCTCAAGAAACTCCCAAGCCAAGTAATCAGACCCATCTGAGAAATAATCCGAGCAGCAATCCTCCCAATCGTTTATCATGTCGTAGAATCCGATCACTCTTGGTCCCAACACTTTCATATCTGGAAACTTCTCTTTGAAGAACTTGTTATCAAGTTGCACGTCCCAACAGCCTCTAAGTTCCAAGAACTCAAGGAAATTGCAGCAAGATAAAATTTTGAGTACTCCTTCTGTGCTGACTCTGTGGTAAGCGATTTCTAACCGCTTCAGCTTCGGCATTGTGTTGGCGATCGCATAAGCTTCATCATCGTGAGAGACGACACTTGCTACATCCAACGGATGCATGTTTCTGCAGAATTCTATCAGTGATTTACAGTGTTTGCCTATGGCTTGTATCGCCTCCGGGCCTACTTTGCAGCAGTAGCTCAAGTCTAAAAAAGTGAGAGATGAAAGCTTTTCAGCTACGTTTACAACTCCTGAATTGCTCAGACCACTTCTTGGCACCTTCAAGGTTTTGAGTGAACCAGCACTTGCAAAAGAGCAAAGAAACATAGAAAAGTAAGAGTCATAAAATGATAGATACAATAACAAAGAATTTAGAAATCTTGTTGCTTCAGTCTCATCCATATACAATCTTGATTACACTGATAACCACTTAAAGCTTCAATCTCATCCAAATACAAACTTGATTACACCGATACCTAAGAAATTTACCCCCCTAGTGTGCAAAGTAGTCATCTTTAAGGCTAGTGACAGAGTTTTCGATTATATATTACTGCTTCAGTCTCAAAAAAATACATTACTAAGAGGCTAGAGTTTTTAAAAACCAGCTCCAGATAATAAACCACAAAGCTAAATTACGCCTATAATTGCTAAACCTTTCTTCTCAAATTGATCATAATAAGCCAGATTAAAGAGGAAATTAGGGAAACTGTAACTCACTGTTGTGCAATGAAGGAGAAGATAGAGTCATTTTGAAGGCCAGTGACGGAGAGTTTCCGCAAAGAACCAGAGCTTCTAAGTATCAACATCTGAAGCATTCGATCAAGATGATCGGCCTGGTGACAACGGTTACTCCACAGCTCAATGTCTATCTCTTGCCAGCAATAAGGTCCAGTTACAGCTCTGTTCCATGCTTTGCAAACCCTAGGAACCACTGTTAAGACCTCTTGAAGAGGTAAGTGACTAAAGATTAAGCCAAGAGCATCTGGGATTAGCTCATCCCAATGTCGATACTCACAATCTTCTTCCATCTACAAAGATCACACATATCTTCAAAATCCATGTATTTAAGAACACCATAAACAGAACGGCTTTAACTTTTTTAATTTACAAATCACAAAGTTTCTTCTTTTATATCAAGTTCCAAGCAGGGTTTAGACATAAATGAAGAAAACTCAAAGATCCAACAAACCCAGATGAACAAAGCAAACAAATACACAAAAAGACAACATAAAGTCTAAGTATCGATATAATCACTACTAACTTCTATAACTCAGCAGCTTCCACTGCAGAAGATCAGAAAAACAGAGATCTGAAAGAAAGGAAAAAAGCTGAAGAGCTCAAGAAGACAAGAACCAGTGATTTTGAAGCAGAGAAGTTACTAGAATTGGAAAGACAGCTACTAAAAAGAACAAAAAGGAAGACACTTTCTCTCTCTCACCCATAACAAATCAACAAGTGATACTCATGCTTAGAAAAACAGGACAATCTATAGAAAATATATAAAAAAGAAACTCTATTCACCAAAAATCGCTGCAGCTTCAAAATTCTTCTCCAGGTTTGGATTAGAGAGAAAAATTTCACCGTTTGTCCGCCACAGAAGCTTGGGTAAGAGAGAGAAAGAGAGAAAGAAAGAGAGAGACAGGAGAGAGATCTGACTCACCTAATCAAAGAGAGCATCAACAATTTACAACCAAACAACAAGAACAAAGCAACAATAGTAAAAACCCAGCGAGTAAATTCTTATGACAACAAAAGGGTCCCTCCAGAAGAAATTCCATTATTTAAAAACTGAGAAAGAAAAATAAAAAGAAAAGAAAGAAAAACAGTAGAAATGGATGAACAGAATAACCAGCAACAGTTTTTTTTTTCTTTTTTAACTTTAATTCCTCAATAAGCAAGCAAAAGAGAAACCCTTTTTACACGAATTCCGTACCTCATAATCCAATCTCTCTGATCAGAGTCCAACCTATAAAAATTAACATAAAAAACTCTTTTTTTTCTTTCTTAGCCACTCGGGAAAACGCAAAAGAGACAATAAAGTCAAGGTTTTCTTATTTTATTTTAACAGTAACAGTGTGTGTATGTGGCACTTTGACATTATTGCAAAGATTTGAGAGTTACTTCTAGGTGAAAAGAACCGACACGTGACGGTTAAAAGACCGGAAAGTAGAATACACGTGTCAGTAGATGTTATTGTGTGATTTCTGCCGACGTTGACTTTTTGACTATTTCCACGAGTTCCAAATATCTAGCTGAGTAACAGCGTGATCAGTACGAGAACCAAATCCCATTTTCGAACACAAAATGTAATTTTCAAGAATCAGAATCCGGTACTGTCAAGTCAAGAGATAAGATTGGGTCGGTCTTGTGTGTTAATTCAAATGTGATGGACACCTTAAACCTTTTTTGTAGTCTGAAAATCCATTAATGGATTAAAACCACGGACTCTCGAAGCTTCAATGTACCTAAAGGCGTTTACCTGTTCATCTGTTAGTTTATGCAGGATCATTAGATCATTAGATGCAGGGGCGGCTTTGGGGAGAGCGAGATGAAGCGCATGTCTCTGGCCACCCTATTACATGAATGTTGGGCCCCCAAATCGCAAATTTTTCTTTTCTACTTAAAATTTCTATTAGATTGTCTTCGACCTGATTTAATCTGCTCATCGTTCTCATCTTTGACAGGGACATTGATATAAACTAAGCTAAATACTGGATATTTATTTTTTGCCAAAAGGGTTAAAATATTAGTTAGGCCAATATAAATGTTGGGTATTAGATAATTAACCGATATGTAAAAGGATTATTTTCTAATCAAATTAGTGTTAACCCTAGATGTTGTAAATAGTCTAGTTAATCTCTTATCTTTGAGAGATAGAGGCGATTTCCGATTCCATTTGAAATTGGAAGCTTTACCAAATTTTTTGTAGTTTTTTGTTTGTTAATATTTCCGATTTTGATCGGATTTTCATTTCCGTTTATCGGATAATAAATTCCAACTTCGCTTACTTTTCCAGCTATGTCCAAACTCTTCCCTTTTTCGATTTCGTTGTTGGCTGTGCTTTCATCTTGTTAGAATTGCTGTTTTTCTTTCAAACTTTATTGCAAGTTTCCTTTTTTTTTTCAACAGCCTAAATATCTAGAACGGTTCGACAAACCAAACCGGTGGTACTGAGTTTACGGAAATAATATCATGAGAGTATACTCGAGCACTTCTTGCTAGGTTGTCTGCCTTCAAATTTTGTGCACGTTGGATATGCGATATCGAAAAAAAGTTGAACTTATTCTTCATCTTCACAATCTCCTCCAAGTGTAGATTAAAAGCTGGCCATTCTTTGGGTGTAGACACCGTCTTCACCACGTCAGAACAGTCTGTTGCAAAGGCTACAAACGTCTTTTGATTTTCTAACATACAGTGCATAGCCCATATAAGGGCTTCTAGCTCTGCATGTAGAGAAGTAAGACTACTCCTTACATTTTATGCTCTCATTGTAATTTCCCTTGTTCCGTCTTTCAAAAAATACCACCCTAAACCTGCAACTACATCCATATCCTTCCAAGAGCCATCAATATAGCACCACCATCCATCATACTCCAATGGTACTGACAATTCCGCTGTATGACCAGAATTCGCAGATGGTAATTCCTGTTCGGATATTTGAGCCTCTTCTCATAATTCTGCTTCAATTTCTGCTATTTTTAATGTTATTTGCGGATCTATATCAATGTTCGAGAACACTTTCTCATTTCTTACCTTCCAAATGTACCAAGCAATCCATGGAAATTGTGTATTTTTCTCTTTTGGAAGTCGCCAAAATAGGTGATCAAAATTTGAATAAAACCGATGTCATTGGAAAACTTCCGGGGGTGTTGGTATCTGCGATAAAGCCCAGATTTGTAAAGCAGGTGGGCATTCAAAAAGAGTGTGGTTTATAGGTTGAACTAATAGGGATTCCTTGAATAATTTCCACATCAGCTTGCTCAAAAATTGCTTTTATTAATCCCATGTTCCATGAATTTGTCCCAGGGTCAATCAGATGATTAACCATAAGATTCGGGTAAAAATTAATACCCTTACAAGTGGCTGATCTCGGGCGAGGAGAAGGTATCCAAGAATCATTCCATACTGAGATAGAACATCATGAACCAACTCTTTTGATTAGCCCTTTATTAACCAGAGATCGAGCTGAGATTATACTTCGCCATCCATACGACGGTGAGTATGATCGTATTGGGTCCAAAGGAGTAGTGTTCCTGAAGTATCGTCCCTTAAACACCCGTGCAAATAAGGACTCAGGTTTTTCTATTAACCGCCATAATTGTTTTGCCAATAAAGCCGTGTTGAAATCCTCCACATTTCGAAATCCGATTCCCCTTTCCTTTTTATTTCTACACATTTTTGTCCATGCCAAATAATGCATTCCTCGTTGTTGTCTATTCATACTCCACCAATATTTTGCCGCTGCACTAGTTAATTTTGCCGTTGTGGATTTAGGTAATCGAAAACATGACATGACAAAAGTGGGCATTGGGGATGCCACAGTTTTCAGTAAAACTTCTTTGCCCCCTTTTGATAGTAGTCTTGAGGTCCAGCTATTAACCCGATCATAAAAGATTCTTGTTTTGGCTCCCCCCATGCTTTCTGGGATACCAAGATAAGATCCTGTTCCTCCATCTCTCGTAATTCCTAAAATTTGCTTTAGTTCCTGTTTAGTTTCCTCTGGAACCGTGTGACCAAATTGGACCGAAGATTTTTCAAAATTTATTTTCTGACCCGAAACACCTTCGTACTGTCATAGTATGCTCAGAACCTTTTGACACTCATCCTTATTTGCTTTGCAGAAAAATAAACTATCATCCGCAAAAAATAAATGGGAAACTGATGGACTTGCTCTTGCAATCCTCAAACCCGTCATTAATTTTTCTTTCTCTGCTTTTTTAATATTTGCTATTAAAACTTCCGTACATAGTATAAACAAGTATGGTGATAGTGGATCTCCCTGACGGAGTCCCCTCCCTGGCTTTATTTGTCCCCTTAGCTGTCCATTTAATAGAACTTTATACCGGACAAAAGTAATACACCGCATCATCCACATTATCCATTTTTCCGCGAAGCCGAGTCGTCTCAATAGGTTTTCAATAAAAGACCATTCCACTCTGTCATAAGCTTTACTCATATCCGTCTTAATTGTCATAAATTTACTTCTGCATGATTTATTGGTTCGTAATCCGTGAAATATTTCTTGTGCTATCAAAATGTTATCCGAAATAAGACGTCCAGCCACAAAGGCTGATTGAGTTTCCAAAATTAGATCAGGTAAAAGTCGTTTTAAACGTTGACATAACACCTTCGAGATTATCTTATAACCTACATTACATAAACTAATTGGCCGTAATTCTGTCATCCTTGTGGGTCTTTCTGTTTTTGGGATTAGACAAATATTTTTCATATTTAACCTCTCGCCATAAACTCCGGTGTCCAAAAAACCGTTCACTAGATTCACTATATCCATCTTGATAATATGCCACGAACGTTGGTAGAAAAGTGATGTCATTACGTCTGGCCCTAGAGCTTTTTCTGGATTTATCATAAATAGTGCACTGCGTACCTCCTCCTCCGTGGCCATTGCCGTAAGCATCGACTTACCAATATCTGTAATTAATGGTTTTATCTCCCCCAATGCTTCCTCAAAATCCAATGGGCGAATTGAAGTAAATAAATCATCGAAATACCTCACTGCCACCTGTTCAATCTCCTTCTCCGAAGTTACCCAAGTGCCTACCGCATTATGTAGCCCAACAATTATGTTTCTTGTCCACCGTTGTTTCACTTGCGCATGATGAAATTTTGTGTTTTTGTCTCCATATTTTGCCCATTGAATCCGACTTTTTTGTTGCCAAAATAGTTCGTCATCCCTATATGCTTCCTTTAATTTTTTTGAGGCCTCTTTTGATTCCTCTTCTGTCTGCATGTCATCATTTTGGACATCCTCTAATGTCTGTTTTAATTCACTAATTTTATCCTGCCCATATGGCCGAAGATTATGTCTCCATCTAGATATTTCTCGCCGGCAGTTCTTAATCTTATCCACCAATGAAACCTCATCTTCTCCATGATTTAATTCCCATCCTTTAGATATAGAATCCATTAAACCTTCTTGCCCGAGCCATATTTTGTTAAATCTAAATTGTGCTCTTTTCTGAAGAATTTTATTCTCAATTGTGGCTACAATTGGCCTATGGTCCGATCCAATCATTGCTAAATATTCAACAAAAGAATGTGTGAAAATATCATGCCAATTTTCATTGGCTAAAGCCCGATCTAATTTGCATCTAACAACTGTTGAGTTCCTTCTTCCTCTCCAAGACATAGTATTTCCAAGGCACGAGAATTCTAGAAAACCACAATCCCGTATCATCGTATTAAAACATACAAAAGTGGAAGCGTGTCTTAAATTACCACCTTGTTTATCATTATTTCCAGTTCTCTTTTTTTTTTTTGGTCAAACCAGTTATCTCATTTAAATCTCCAATTATTATCCACGTTTCCGTTCTGGTAAGACTTATTCTTGTTAGCCGTTCCCATCGATCTCGAAACTTTGTTACCGGGTTACCGTAAATAAAAGATAGAAACACTTTTTTCCGAGAATTTTTGCTTCAACATCAATAATTCTATTGTTTGAAAATAATATAACAATATCAAAAGAATTATCATAAAATAAAGTAAGTCCACCACTTGCCCCGCATGGTCCAACCGTGTACAAATTATTATACCTGAAATGAAATTGAAATTATTGCAAAAAAAGAAAAATTTTGCTTAGTTTCTGAAAGAAATAAAAACTCGGGTCTATGCTTCTTCCAAATTTTCTGGAGATAGCTTATTGTCCACTTACTCCCAAAATCCTGACAATTCCAGCTAAGTATTCTCATCTAACACTCGAGATTTTGTACTTTTCTGTCCACCTTTTGGGTTTGATGGGCCCTTCATAGACTGTTTTTCCAAGGAGAAACCAACACTTGAACCATCTTTTTTTTAGTGCTTCCTCCGATGAAAGCTGGGTTACCTTTTAGCGTCTTCTTCTTTGGGCCTTCCTTGGGCCCATCATTTTCCACCTCAGCCATCACTTCCACGTCCATAGCCAACTCTCGTCCCCATATCGTTTTGTAGCTCGGAATCCATTTTGGCTTACGTATCCTCCGTAGGTAGCTTTCGTCTCCTACGACGGTGACGTCCATAAGATCCAGTTTAGGCAACCCAGATACAACACTCTCGTGGCTCGGATTTAACCTAGGATCGGACACTGTTTAGCTACTTTAGCGTTACCGCATTGAGATTTGGATGAATGAGAGAATCATTTAAAATCGAAATCCTTTAACCTAAAAAACCTAGATGTCATTGATCATGGGGTCCCTTTTCGATGGCCCTCTTCACCCAGCAAGGTGACTACTCAGACATGGCTGAGCTTGACAACATCATCATTGGTTTTGAAATAGAAAAGCAGTAAAGTAAAAGAGATTGCATAAACTGAATAGATAGATGAAAAGAAAGAACAAAGGTTCAAGAGAAAAAATATATATCTCCCTAATCTAAACCTAAGAAACAAAAGTTTGGTGTCTCCCTATCAAGGGGAAAGGAGCACACACGAAATTAGGTCTTCTAAAATAAATATTTATAGGTCTCCAAGTTTTTCTGGTCGTCCTTAGGGCTTCTTGTGAAGAGAAAATGAGTTGGGCTTGAAAACAGGCCATTGGGCCGTTTATGGGCTTGTCGCAGAAACAAGTCTCTCCAGGCCTGGTAAATGCTGGTCCACCGTGTCTGGAGGCTCTGAGGCGTGGCCAGGATGTTCTTCACCGCGGTCACAAGCTCCTAGGCCGCGGTGATTGGTCTATGATCTCCAAACTTCATTCATTCTCTTGCTTCTTTCGTGAGATTGCAGAACATGTTTTCAGTAAATTGGAAATAACTTATGATCCAACCGTTAGATTGATTTTACTCCACTGTATTGGAAAGCTGGTTGTGTCCTCTATATTGTATCCAAATTTGAGCTTGATCAGACGGTGAAAAGGTCTTCATCGGATGTGAAACTTCTGACGGTCTGAAATTGGCCAAAAGTGAATTTTTCTCCAATTTGCATTGCTTTTGCCTAAGAAACTTGAAAAGTCTTTTAAAACTCCAAAACATGGAAAACACTTATAAAACCTTCAAAACTGATTGAAAACACCTGCATAAGATACTGAAAGTGATCCATAAATATGGTCAAAATCATGTGTTATCAACTCCCCCAGACTTAAACTTTTGTTTGTCTTCAAACAAAACCAAAGATCTAAATCTAGTAAAGAGGTTTGAAAATCGCAGGAACTAACAAAATCTCAGAGACCATGCTTCTAAACCAAAGTTAGTCATTATGCTCAAATCAAGGATAGTCTAGAAAATTCTCACCAAAATACAGGCATAACTAGTCCGTTGATCCGTCATGCGAAAGTCTAGACACTTAAACCTATCTTCCAGTCAACTAGCTCTTAACATTCATTTATAAGTTCCAGTGGTTCTCATCAAAGGACTTTAGTAAAGCAATCAAGGCTAGGTATTCAAAATGGCTGTTTAAAGGGTGAGGTTCTAAGTGTTTAGGGTTACCTTTTTCTGGAGAGACAAGACATTATGCAAAACAGCAAGAGAGGATGGAACTGTTGATGCCCCCACAGTTTCCAGTCACATTCTTCTTGCCTTAAGATTCTTGATCTCCTTTCTTCAGGTTCTCCTTATAACTCCCCCAGACTTAGATTTTTGTCCAGGTTTTAAAACCAATCCTCACAGATAAATACTTGTAGCCTTTGCTTCCAATGATTTCGGCCATCCTAGACTCTTTAGGCTTTTGGTTTCCTTTCCTTTAATTTTTATTTTCTTTTTTCTTTTTTCGATTTTTTTTTTTTGAAAGGGGAAACCGCCTATTGACATAGAGTCTTATGAGCACGAAATTTACCTTTATGAATGAGTTTTTTGAGGCACCATTAAGCTTGATAGGATTGCTGATACTCTTCTTTCCCAAATTCCTTAAGTCCTTCTCTTGAGTGACTGAAAACCATGTTGTTCCTCCCTCTCTGGCGTTTTTGCACATATCTGCCAAAAGAGTTAAAGAGAGAATGCATGAAGTTTAAAATGATGGTTTTGGGTAAAGGTGGTACCAGCTAAGGATGAACTGGCCATCTAGGAAAACAAAGAGTGGTAACAATGATGTAAAGATGTCCTAGATGTGTATCATGATGCCTGCTAAAACCAATGATGAGAAAATTAGATGTCAAGATTATGTTCAAGTAGAATGAGCTAGTATATCCTGGCAGAAAAGATCTTCATGAATAGAAATCCTCTGGTGGGAGTTCGTAGTGCAAGTACTCTAGTTACTGCCTAGTCTAGTACTAACCACAAAAGAAACTAGCATGTAAAGTCTAGAAGCACATGAGTCTTATTCATCATAGTTTTGATTTTGGTGTTCCTGTTTTTGAAATCAGAGTTCATGTTTTTGAAAAACTTTTGAAAACTTTTTATGAAAGACCTTTTATTGAAAAACAAACTCGAAACAAACCAAATTTTATTAGTAAAGGATGAACATCCTCCCCCAGACTTAAATCACACTGTCCCTAGTGTGAAAAAGTTGGTGAGAAGATGGTAAATAAAAACAAAGAGTCTAATGAAAAGAAAAGAAAACTATGTAGAACCGTGGGTATGATGAGGTGATGGATGGGCGCCTATGTCTCATGGCTGCTGTCTATCTCTGTGGTAGAGGAATCATCATCATACATGTGGTTCTTCACATGAGCTTCTTCAGCATAATGCTCATGCGAAGTGCTCAGGTAAGTTCCATGACCTGCAAAACAGAATTCTTGAGACCAAGAATGAATGATGCTGTATTTTGAATCAATTTTAATGAGCAAAGATGTTCATACAGCTATCTCAAACACATTCAAATGACAAACAAACTGTAATTGCAACAAACATTGCAAAATCTGGCAATTCCTGGTCAAGTTCGATTTATTGATGTCCAACACATGAGATTTCTAAATCAAGATGATGTTAATGCTCACTCATATGTAATCTAATCTGGTTTTCTATCAACAAGGACCAAAAAAATCCAGAATTGTTAAGCTGAATCAAACAGTTCTTCAAATTTTGATTTTCTCAAGTGTGCAAATCTCAGATTTCGAAAATCACAAATCTATGGGTCTAGGTGTTACAACATGCAATTTAACTTCCTAGAAGTCTAGTCTTGAGCTCAAAGACAATTTACAACCATCCTAAGGTGAATTCCTACTGATTCTAAAAAACTCTAAATTTGAGTTCATATGAAAAAGTGAGAAATTTGGATCCATATCTTGATGAAAGTGTGATGTGATGATAGATTTGGAATCTCCTTTGAAAAAGAGTGAGACAGCATTGAAAATTTGAAAAGAAATTGTTAAGTTTGAAATCTTGTCTTTTCGCAAAGTCTCCAAACTTGTTGGGGAAGATGAAGAAAAAGACATTTTAATCTTTGAAATTGTCAAGTTTGAAATCTTATCTTTTCTAATATCGTTTTATATATTTTGTACCTTGTTTGGGTTTGCAATTCCCTCATTTGGACTTTGTTTCCAAATGATGAGGTCGACTGACTTTGTGTATCTCAACATAACTAAAAAGTGTATCATGCTTAATCTAACTGGAATTTGGCGTGGTGAGAAAAAAAAAAAGATTTTTGCTGTAAGATATCTAGTGAAACTGTCCTGGAATTGCGAATTTATCTCAGCCGTATCTCAGCCGTATCTCAGCCGTATCTCAGCCTTGTATCCGTCTTTCTATTTGAATGAAATTCATTGGGAAACAAAAAGAGTTTGAACATATACACATTGAGAAGTCTCAGTTTGATTTAAAAATTTTATTGGGGATTTATTGGGGATTCATTGGAGATTAATTGGGGATTGATTGTACAGATGTTTTCGGTTAGTTAAGTGTGTCATATACCCTTTGGTTTCCATTATTTATGGCATTTTCAACATTTGTGTCTGAATAGGCTTTTGAATATCCTTAAAGAACATGTCTTATGCATTCTGTATTTGTTGTTAGATTTGTGAGACTTATCTGCAGCATAGGCCACTCTATTATGTGTAAGTCCACTCTACATCATTGTGGGGCACTACATGAATTATGCCATTGATACTTTTAAAAGTAAAAGCCAGAGGGTAATCATCAAAAAGAAATTGTAAAGTTTCAAACGCAGAGGATACAATACGAAGCTAGCATAATCGTAGCGCGGCATAAAAACTATCCCACCGACCTCAAGGAACACCGTAAAATAAACCTTACGTATCAGATACATTCAAAAGCAAAGACATCTCTCTCTATTAAGCCACCACAAGGAAGAGAAATCGCTGTCCCTGCTTTGATGTATTGCGCTAGAGTAAATCACTCTTCCCTGCCAACAAGATTTTTGAGCAATCAAAATCAATTACATTCCAAGAACCTAAGGAACTTAGCTAGAGATGTTAGCTAGGTGTGCCAAATAACATGCTGTCTTAGTCTTATGTTCATGTCTATTGAAAATGGGAAGCAAATTTGGGTAGCGAATGGCCCTGCAAACGATATTGTGATCCGCTCAGTTTAATTTTCAGAATGTGATACTTAATACGTTTCTTGTTAATGATCATGATCATACCTGTGAAACCGCATAATCGAAAATCTGTCAACAGAAAATGTAACTCAATCTACAAACTAAAAGTTTCTCTAGCTAACAAGATTTGCAGCAATACAATCAAGAAAGCTACTGCTTCCATCAAACTCACTAAACTATCTACCCTGAATCTACCTAAATCTCAAAACATCGTCACAGATCAAGATCATACACATCTTTTCATACATGTGAAATCGCATAATTGACAATCTGTCAACAGATAATGTAACTCAAATCTGCAAACTAAAAGTTTCTCTAGAATCAAGAAAACTACTGCTTCCCCATCAAATTCACCAAACAATCTATCCTGAATCTGCTAAACACTTAAAACATCTTCCCAGATTAAGATCATACATATCAAATGTTGTTCCAGATATCAATCACTCTCGGGATATAGATAATCCAATCCACAAACCACATTAAAGAGCCAAAGGTCTCTAATGTCTAACATTAAATATAATATGATAGTGAGAAGCTACAAACGAGATAAAGGAAAGAAGAATCATACCATTTGATAAGCCAGCCAAAGAGGAAATGCTGCATAATGGGGACTTTCTCGAGCACTTCCATTTTGTACATCTTGAGCAAACCGCTATTCACCTTCTTCCAGTCTGCTACAGTACCGCTTATATCATCGAGCAACGGCGAGTGCTCGAAGAACAAACCTTTCTTTACCTTCTTCACATACGCGATACAAGACAAGTACATGTACTCACTAGAGAAATTCTCCAGAATATCGTCGTTGTGAATCGATTTCGGTTTCATATACTTGTGATCAATCAACTGTGAGCTCCCAAATATGAAAGGCAAGAAATGGTAATCATCAAGTCCCCAAACTCCATGAGATCCAGCAGGTTCTAAGCAATAAACCATCTGCAATTTTCGCATCAATTCAAGGTACTTGACGAAAACCCTAGCCACCACACCGTGATAATCTTCCTCCTTGATGATCCCCATCCTCGCTAAGCAATACAGCCACGCCGCGAAATTCGTCTCGTGTCCTGTTCCGTAATCGATTCTGCTTCCGTTCCCAAAGCTATCGAAGAAGTAAGGAACGATCTCGATCGTAGATCCTTTAAACTCATCGGGAAGAAACTCAAGGATAAGCGATTCGCCTCTCTCAGCGAGCCGCTCGTGCCATGACCTAAACGAGATGTTACCGTATCGAGACGACATTTGAACAGGAGGAATCTCGTCGATCCATTGCAACAAGGTCTCGAGGATTGAAACTATGGCGGCAACGGTAGGCGAGACATGACAAGGATCTGAGATTTTGTGTCCAGCGATCGATTCTGATAGAGAAACGACGAATCCTAGGAAGTTCTTAAAGGAGGCTGATTCCTGGAAACGGCGGATATCGTCGGGGGAGTGGATTCTCTTGACGGGGCATTCGAATTGATATGGCGGAGAGACGACAGGGACTTGTTCGGCGTGAGGAACGGGGGTGAGAATGATTGCTTGAGAGTTGTGTGGAAGGTTGATCGCCGGAGCTCGGATCGGGCGATAGTTCGGTGGCGGTGACATCTCCGGTAGTGAAGCTAGAGGTGGCGGTTCGGAAATCGTTGGTCCGCCGCACTTAGTACAGCAGCCAGATGGAGGATAAGCGGAGGACGGAGGCTCGGAGGGGGATTTCTCCGGCGTGTGTTGGTGCTTTGGAGGTTCCATTTCGCAGTTTAAGGAGGCTCAAAGGTGAAAGAAAGAAAGGGTTCATAAAAGTTGCTTAGTAGTGGAAAACCATTTTTAGGGAGATTTTGTTTAATAGGCTTTGATTGGTAATGCAAAACCATTTATTTAGCTTGAATGAAGGGTTTAATTTATTGATAACTCTTCTTCATTCAATTTATTGATAACTCTTTTTTTTTTTGTCGATTATTGATAACTCTAAAATGTTATCAATCATAATTTTTTTTTTGGGTTCAATATCAATTATAATTCAAAATCAAATAAAATTTATCACTACAACATATTATAGTATGATCCATGTTACGCCCTATACGAAAAAAATGATCAAAACCAATCTGAACTAATGGTACAATTTTCTACCCCGAATAACTGAAATATTCAAATTTTATATCCAAACTATTGAATATAGGCTAAATTCAATTTTGACTGTAAATCTGTTAATCAACCCGTTAAATTTGCTGACTCAACAGTTCTACTCAGCTGTTGCATCAGCTAAAACGTCCAAAAATACTGAGTCAGCTATCACGTCACCTGTTATTAAATTTTCTAAACATTTTTCATTATTTATATATTTTTATGCTTAAATTTTTGATATTCTATCAATCTTTGTTAGATAAAAATGATTCTATTTAGATCTCAATTTTTTATGTTGTACATTTGTTTTTATAAACATGAGTTAAAAATATATAATTAACTTATTTTTTTGAAAATATATATTTTAAAAATATAAATTTTATATACAGTTAAAACTCTATAAATTAATAATTATTAGGACCTTCATATTTTATTAATTTATAGATTTCAATCAAAAATTATTTTTTATTATTTTTTATTAATTTTAAAATATTTTTTTTAAAAATATTATTATCTTTAAATAATTATTTCTAATATTAAAAATGAATTTTCAAAATACTTTAAGTTAAAATAACTAAAAAATATCACTAAACTCATATTTTGATAGATTATCTCATTTATATGTTTATATCAGATATTATTTATAATAATTATTAATTTATAATATTAATGGGATCATATATTTATAATATGAATTGTGTTAAAATTATTATCTTATCGAATTGTGTTATATTTTGAACCAGCCCCATCTCGAAAACATGAAAAATTATTAATTTATAGTATTTATTAATTTATCAAGTACTAATTTATAGAGTTTCTACTGTATATATATCTATTATATTAAAACAGAAGCACATTTAGTACTTGCTTCCAAACACTCCCAAAATTTTTTAAAAAATATTTTGGGAAACAATTTTAAAATTCTCCTACATTATTGTAATATTATTTAAAAACATCTTTTCTTTTTTATTTAAAAAAATCCGAAAATTAGATATAAATTTAGATAACTAAAGATTTTCTTAAATATAGGTCATATTTAATTTAAAATTCAAACTATTTTTGTAATTAAATTTAATTCTAAAAAATGATATAATTTAAATTATTTTATCTATTCTATTAAAATAGAAGCACTTTTAGTACCTGTTTCCAAACACACCTAAATGTTTTTATAACATTTATTTTATATTATAATTAATTTCGAAAATTGGTTACTAATTTAGATATTGTTAGATTTCTTTACATTTAGGTTATATTTAATTTAAACTTTAAATTTATACGAAATTTTTATTAATTAAATTTAATTACGAAAATTAAGAATCAATTTAATTTAAAATTCAATAAAATTATTAATAATTTTTATTACAAAATTAGATAATAATTTTAATTACTTTAGAATTCCTTAAATACAGGTTAGATTTAATTTAAAATTTTGAATTTAAATAATATTTTATATAATAGTACTAATGGTAAAAAAATATTTTATATTTATTGTTTATCATAATCAATCCGCCTAAAACATCAAATATTTAATCTTGGTAAATATTTATATTTTACAATAATATGATAAAGTAAGTTAAATTTATACAATTATAATAACATCTTATACAGGTTAGTTTATCAAAACATTTAAGATATTAAAAAATAATTTGAGATAACTAAACGGACGGGTTAGCTAATTCATAGATGTATATATTGTTTATGTGTAAATCTAAATTTACATAATAATAAAGTTCATAATTAGCATTATAGATCAATATATATTTAATTAAATCATATTCTTATTCTACTAATATATAAATCTATACTATTTAAAGTTAAAATATAATAACAAAATTTTTGAATTAAAAAAATAAATAATAAAAATAAATTCTATTAAAAAATTATATTAAAAATAAAAATGAAAAATTCCCGTGCGGATGCACGGATTTAGAATCTAGTACTTCTTTAATTATAGGTCAGATTTAATTTAACATTTGAAAATTTAAATAATCTTTTTAGAAAAACAAATATGATTTAGAGAATACCTTATTGTATTTTTTAATCATATTCAATCAGAATAAAATTTCATGTATTAAAAACTAATAAATATTAATATTATATGGTAATTTGATGGGGTGGATTAGATTTTTTTTTATAATTGCAGTCTTATATTCAAAACATGCAAGATATTAAGATAAATATTATTTCAAAATTAGTAAATAATTATACTATATAGTAATATGACGGACGGGTTAGAATTATGGTTTAGTAACTACAGTTTTTTGGATTAATAGAATGAGTGAGTTAAAAATATATTTTTATAATAACGGTTTTTTTCGATTAATAGAATGATCGGGTTAAAATTATGTTTTTATGATCATGGTCATAAACTCATAATATAGTAGAAAAAATTAAAAAAATAAATTATATCTAAACACAAAAATAAATCTTTGTTATTTATTAAAAAGTTATATCTATAAAGAAAACATAAATATTATTATAAATTTTGATTAAAAAAATTTCTTGTGCAGATGCACGGGGTAAAATCTAGTACTATTTAAAGAAAAGCACTTTTTTCTCCAAACAGAATTTTTTTAGTTTTCTACTATTCTGTTTTCGGATAACTACTATTTCTGTTGCCAAACAAAAATTTTACTTTGATTTATCTGTTTTATTTATTTTCAAAAATTAATAAAATAATATAATTGAATCTTATCTTTCAAATTAATTCCAAAAAATTTTAAATTTTAATTCAATTAGTTTAGATTTTTTTAGATATAGTTAGGATTAATTATCAAAATTCCAAAAATTAGTTGTTATTCTTTTTCTATAAATATCCAAATTTAAATAATATTTTTATAATGATAAATATGATAAATGATATATTATTATATATTTTTTCATAATCAATCATTTTAAAATTTTAAATATTAAAATAAAAAATTATGATAATATGAACGGATGAGATAAAATTATATTTTATATTTATAATCTTTTGGATTAATTAAATGGACGGGTTAAAATTGTGTTTTTTATAATCATGGTCAAATTTATTAGAAATTAGATTTTAAAATAAATTTTATCTAAACCCAAAATAAATTTGTATCATTTATTATAAAAATATTATATCTGTAAAAAACATAAATTATATTATAAAATAGATTAAAAAATAAATTTTCCGTGCAAATGCACATGGTATAATCTAGTAACCTATTATATCACTAAAAAAAGTTTAGTTAAATTTCTAATGACATATATTGCTAATGTGGATGCTTCTAATTGGTTTAAGTTATTGGAAGTTAACATTTGTTTTCTTGGTTTAAGCATTCAATCAAGATACGAGACTATATTCATCAATATAAAAAATCTCTTTAGAAACCCATCAAAAATTTCTCAGGTGGTTTAATTAACATCCAAAAAGCTCTATCAAACATGTTTTCTTGTGAAAAAACGTCTTTGCATTTTTTATTACTGTAATTTTAATTTTCAGTCGAATAATATAAATAGTTAAATATATAGTCGGTTCGATTCCAAATTTTATTTTAATTTGGTTCGAATTTACAAGTTTTAGTTAATATAATTTAATGTGTCAGAATTTTTTGGCAGTCTTAAAAGTCATTTTTTTAGCAGTCCTTTGTTTTTTTTCTAAAGTAACTAATAGAGGCTTTAAGAGTTATTCTTTCTCTCTCGCGACTTTCTTCTTTTTTGTTTGTTTTTTGATTTTATCTTATCAAATTAATTTGAATCAAATATAAAATAGAAATTTTATTTGAATGGTAAAAATGAAAATACTTAAATTTACAAAAACATTAATCATGCTGAACATTACATGATGAACAAAAAAAATGTTCTATTCAAACGTGCATAATTTTTTAAAATAATAATTTTTAGAAATTTCAAATATCTATTATATTAAAACAGAATCATTTTTAGTGCTTGCTTCCAAATACTCCCGAATTTAAAAAAAAAAATCTGTTTGGAAACAGTTTTAATATTGATCAAATTTAATATAATTTAAATAAAAATCATTTTATTTTATATTTATATTTAATTCTGAAAATTAGTTATTAATTTAGATATTTTAAGATTTTCTTAAATATAGGTCATATTTAATTTAAATTTCAAATTGTTCAAATTTTGAATAATTAAATTTTATTACGAAAATTTAGATTCAGTTTATTTTAAGATTCAAAAAATCAAAAAAAATTATAATTAATTTTTTTACGAAAATTTAGATAATTTTTAATTATTTTATTTTTTTATAAATACAGATTAGATTTAATTTAAAATTTTGAATTTAAATAATAGCGCAAATGGTAAACGATTATCTTATTGTATTTTATCATAATCAATTAGTATAAAATACCAAATATTTAAGATTAAAAATATTTATATTATACAATAATATGATGGAGCTGATTAGGGTTATGTATTTATACTTAACGTCATATACGGATTAGTTTATTCAAACATATAAAATATTAAGATGATTTGAGGTAATTAAACAAACCGATTAGCCAATTTATAGATATGTACATTTTTATAATATCACAAATGGTAAATGAATATCTTATTATATTTTATTATAATCAATTGGTATAACATATCAAATAATTAATATTTGTAAATATTTATATTATACAATAATATGATGGAGCAGATTAAGGTTATGCATTTATAATTATAGTTTTATACGGGTTAATTTGTCCAAACATGTAAT